CGATGGCTGTGTTCAGACCCCAGCTGTTTTTTTATTTGTGCTGCAGTCAGATCCAAAAGAGCCCAATCAGAATCAGGGCCCCACTATGCTAGGGGAAGATTTGATCCCCCACCTAAGTTGATTATAATCTAAGAAACCCCCGTGTGTGTTTTCTCTGGACATTTTAATGAACAAATTTATTACTAAAACTGGTTAGAAAAATAGATTTTTTTTCCCCTGGGAGAAGTTTTTGGGGGGGGGATGGAAGGGAGAGAATCATAGAAATTGAAATCAGTTGAAAAAAATCTCAGTTTTCCTGTAGGAAGTTTCAGACCAATTTGAAACGAACAGTTATTTCAAATGGACAATTCAAAGTAAAACGGTCATTTCCATTTCATTTTGAATAATGCTTAAGAAAGACGTCGTATCAAAATTTCATTTTGTTTTAGCTTCTTAAAAATCAAACACAAAGCATCATTTGAAGTTGAAATGAAACAAAAATTTTAGTTTCAACATTTCCTGCAGGAATTTTTTTTTAATCTGAATTGACATTTTTCTGTGAAAAGTTTCAGTTCTGACCAAACAATATTTGATCCTATATTTACTGGCATTGGGATTGATTGGTATGTATTTGACCATACATTTATTGGTTGTAGGAGACCGTGAACTTTAAATGCCATTATTTATCATTTATTTTACAGCAGCATCTAGGGTTCAGTCAGGATAGGGCTCCATTGTGCTAGCTGCTGAATGAACATACTAGACAATATTAGCGGAAAGCAAATTTTGAACTTGTAAAAGGCAAATATTCTCACTGGAAACCTGATTTGTTCATCCAGCCAGGGAACAAACACCTTGTGACTCCAGCGTTCAATTAAAACAAACCATCCCAGCTCAACTCTCAGAAACTCAGAATTATTCACAGAAATGAAGTGTTCAATCATTCTGAATGACTGATCTCTCTGGGTAAGTGTCACACTGCTCGCTCCATCTCAGAGCAGAAAAAAGAATCTAAGTCCATGCAATAAATTATTCACTACAAATTATTTGCTCAGGTTTCATTAAACCACATCCATTGTATATTGGGAAAGAGAAGGAGACAGATGTATGAAGATTTCCTATTGATGGCTAGGATAGAAGCAGTTCTCCATTGCATCTGTTTTCCAAAGAATCACACTCCACAGAAAGCAAGTGAACGCTGCAAAGATCAATGATGAACTTGCCTATGAGTCAGCCTAAGAGTTACAAGACGAGTCTACAATAGAGAGAGAAAAATACTCGGCGAGAGAGTTAGCAAACTATCCAATCTCCAAAGCCCAAGAACACGCGCAAGTTTTATCCTGGACACGCTGCAGTACAAGACTCGTCGCCAGATTGTCAGACGTGTCCAGCCTCCAGAGTTGGGGCTTGATTTCCAAATGGGCTCAGCTCCCATTGTGGGAGCTGCTGGCAGGGGCGGCTCTATGTGTTTTGCTGCCCCAAGCACGGCAGTCAAGCGGCTTTCAGCGGCGCGCCTGCGGGTGGTCCCCTGGTCATGCCGATTTGGCCATGTTTCTGCGGGAGGTCCGCCGGTCCCGCAGCTTTGGCGTACCCGCCGCCAAATTGCCGGCAAATCCGCAGGACCGGCAGACCTCCCGCAGGCCTGCCACCGAAGGCAGCCTGACTGCCATCCTCACAGGGACCGGCAGGCCGCCCCCCGCAGCTTCCTGTCCCAGGCCTGCACTTCCTGCTCTGGTGCCTGGAGCTGCCCCTGGCTGCTGGGTGTTGAGAACTTATGAAAATCTGGCTCACTGGCGCCACATCTGATATCTTAAAGGGAACAGGGATGAGCCTGGGAAGGTCATAACCCATTTTTACACAATTAATCTTTTCTTATGGGGCTGAAACATGAGACTTTAGTGACAAACAGCCAGCTATTTCCACAGGAAAAGAGGGTTTTTCTTTAAAAAGACCAGCTCTGCAGGGAGTATGCTCTTGGAGCAAAGGCTGTTTTTGGAGTTTCTTCTAAATTGGGACATAAATGGTGTTTGTTCAATAGCTACAAATGTAGGAGAACAACTAAAATCTGTCCCAGAAAATTCCCTCCGAAATTTTGCATCAAAGAATCAATCTCCTGAAATGGCAGCGGAAACCACAGCAGGTACAACGTGGCCAAAGGGTACGTGTGCCACACTTCACAGCATACAAAATCCAAGAGATTTATTTTAAAAAAATAAAACACTTAAAAATCAAAGACAAATGCAAGATACAACCAGAAGGTAAAAATCAAATAGAATGAATCAATTGCACAGCTATGCCTCTTCCCCCTGCCGCTTCCATTCCCCGTAGCAACATTCCCAAGAAGCCATTGCTTGTTCTAAAAGACTGTGTCTCAAGACTGGAGGTATCACCAAGAGCTAGACTGTAGGGCTTATGTCCTGCCTCCGGCATTCAGCAGTAGGTTAATCCAGGGAATAGAACAGTCTATGGAGCAGTCATGGTCTCACCCATATTCAAAAGCACCCAAATACCTGGGAGGCATTGTGTTTTATACGGGCTGGGTCAGAAGGTAACATTCTAGTCTGGAGCACAAAGAAACAAAGACAGAAGAGGTCTGGGCTGCCAGGAGAACAGACACTGCTGCGGCTGCTGGAAGAGCAGCTCAGAGCTAGCCGAAGAGAAAGAGGAACAAATACTGAGATGGATGGAGAGGAGTCTGCTGGCTCCAATACGCTGGGGAAGCAAGCTGAAGATCTCTCCTAGCTATTGGTGCCATTAGCACAGCACCTGCTTCTCGCAAGCAGCTCAACATCTTTGCTGTATCAGCAGGAAGCTCCGGGTTGGGTCTTTGCCACTCCAATTTCTTGAGGTGGACGGGCATGTCTGGCTTGTCCCTTCAGATTTCCAGCTCACTGCACGCATTGCGTCACAGAGCCTGGTAGGCATGGTTACATACTAGAGCTGCTGCGCCTGATGGCAGCAGTGTCTGCTGGGATTGCACAGGTATGACAAACTAGCCTGACACATCGCTCCAGAAATATACGACATAAAACCAGGTTGTTTTCCCCATTTAGAAAAACATCTGCTACGAATTAACAACTCAGCTTACACCAGTAATTACATGGACAGATGAAACGAGGCTGCTAGCATGCCCCATTGCTCACAGGTAGCAGTTCCTATTTTCTGCACTAGTGCCTCCGTCTCCTGTGGACTGAAATTTGGCTTCCTCTTTCAGCATTATCAAGAGTTGGAAGGTTGTTGCCTTAGAGTTAGCAATAGCTGCTGGGAATGTCCGTTTCAATCTCTAGGTAAGCCAGGGTAGTATATACAGGGCTAGGCTGTTTTGACAAGTTCCTTATAAATAAATATGTGCTGTTATAATTGTCCTTATTTATTAACGACATTTCCTCGTCTACCATGCATCAATCAAGGCTCTTGTCTGCTTCCACTGCTAACAGTGGGACAAATTCTCTGTCAAATTTACACCCATGGCAAAACATTCATGAAAACCAGAGCTGAGGTTTGGGCAAACCAATCTGTTCCGATGTGTCCTGAGGATTGACAGAATTGTCATTTTGTTGAAAACAATGCAAACCTTGATGGCATCAGCTGAGTTTTGCGTTGAGTTTCATGTTCACTAAGTCATTAAGACCCTTGCACAAAAGAGCCCCCACCCTCAAGCTGCCTGTAAAAATTCTCTTCCCCCTAGAGCTTTCCAGTGTTCTAGTTTGGGAAAGATGGGTCCCATTTCAGACTCACACCTGTCACTGATTACTAACAGCACAGCCGGGGTGGATATGAGAGAGTATGACTGAAGTCCATTTGTGATTAATACTCCACAGCCTGTCCTCTAGTGCTAATGCGTTCACCTTCCATTTATCCCAGCAGCCCCACACAGTAGCCAAACCAGCAATCTGCATACAGTATTCATTTCTGACTCCCATATATCTGACTGACACCAAGCCAGCCTCACATTTACAATCATTTACACCTCTTTCCTCCGGAATGCCATGCAGCATATCCCTACAGCCCAAAGAGAGTATGCTCTGGTCTCTGATGTCAAGACGGGGTATGTACTGTATTATTTTCCTCTTACTAGCATTATACAATGAGATATCCTTCTGCGATTCCCTCCCTATTCAATGGGAATTTATTTAATTTTGTTTTGATGATGTGCAGTGCTGTTAATTGCTGTTCTAACATCTCTAATGATATATCCTTCCTAATTGTTTATAGCTTGCCTACCTCTTAAGTGCTTAAATACATTCAAATACTAATCTATTCGCTGCAAAATTAGAAATTTCTTCTCAGCAATGGATAGCACAGCACATTTAATATGAAAACTTGAGTTCAAATTGCTGAACTCTTAATTGAGCTCACTAACTACATTCTTTTTGAAACCTAGTTTTTCAATATAGTCTTCAAATTACAGAACTAACTTTGCAAGTTTAGACAGCAGCAAGAAGAGATGCAGCAGGCAATGTTACAATGGCATTATTTAAACATTGGATACACAATTAGAGAACAATATAACCAGCAATAAAATTATTTTTAATTTAAAACAGCGTTGTTCTGCATTTACATTTTTGATTGCATTTTAAATACTACTTGGCCAGTTACAAAATCCGCTGCAAAGGTTTCTTCTTTTCATGCATTTCTTTTCTATAATGGATTGGTTCAATAATCTTATAAAAGATAAGTTTTATACACAAGTTATTAACGTAATGAGACCAAGCGGAACAATAAATGTTCCATACATTGGGGTAGCATTACCAGACATTCCTAAGTGCCAAAGAAAAAAACTTAGAAAATCAAGTCCAGGCCATATATTGAGTGGATGTAGCGCAGGGACTTCTTTTACTGTTCTCTAAGCATGGGAATTTTAAAGAATAGTCTCTACATTTCTGTATCACTATTCAATGGTAGCCCAAAAAGTGATTCCATCATAGCAGAAGAATTCTGCAGTTTTCAGCAATATATTATAGCCATTGCAAAACTTCATTCTAACAAATTTAGGCTCTGAGTAACAAAGAAAATCTTACCTCATAATGTGCCACCCGCTGAGATTCTGATATTAGCTGAGCACTGCACACTTTGCAATAGCTTTCAGTGAATAATTCTTGGTCAATATCAGACGACTTCATCTGCTTACAGTGAGACAAACAGACAATAGAACAGAACGAATGATTATTTTCAGTACTACCACGGACAATATAGAACAGTTAAATTTCACAATGATCCACGAAGAGTGGAGCAAGCCAACATTCCGAGGAAGTTGGATGTTCTCCAAAATGTCATTACAAGCAAACGAAGCTGTAGCATCTTAAATTCTGTAAGTCTGGAGATAGTTGGCAACCCCAGCTAGATACCATTGTATGGAATTCTCAAATAAATGGGGAGTTGTGCATCCAGTAGGGACTGCGGATAATCTATTTATTTCTATTCTTGAATGATTTGGAACCATCAAGTTATGCACACAACTAGCCTATGTAAATACACGTTCTTATTGCTGATACCCTCCCTTCTCCGCCTTCTTACTGTCTGTTACATTTACTTGCTGTGTCTTTCTTAAATTGGATCATAAATAAACTTTAGGACAAGAACCATGATACCCTGTAATACAATAGGATCCCATTATAGGCTTGGCCTTCTGGTTTCCATTACAATGTAATAAATAAAATAATAATAAAGGACTCAAAGGAAACAGCAGAAAGCAAATAAAATTTTCTCAGCCTGTAAAAGAAAATCCAGACCTAAAAACGTTTACCTTTTTAATAAACATAATTCATTATTGCTGGTATTATTTCCGGATTTCCACAATGAAAAGCCAGACATGGAATTAATTACAAAAGACCCACCCCTCAACCACACACACACCTTGCTCTGCTTGCTGCAGTGTGTGGTGACATGTTTCAATCTGATGACCAGAAGTGCTGTGAAAACATTTCTAAGAAACACCTAGAGACACAACAATACAGGAGGCATGTGTTCAAGACCTACGGATCACTACTTAGGACTGATGGATCATTTAAGTGATCCGAAGTCCCTCTTACTTGGGGTGTGAGCAGGACTTGAACATTTGTCTCCAAAGTCAGGACAAGACAGGGTATTGACCCACTGCACCTCCCATTTTAGATATATGCATTTTTACCATGTGTCATCATGTCTCTCGCCTCCAGAGTGCCTCCTAGTGGCCAGGTACAACATTACAGGGATTTTCTCAGCACAGCACCACCTGCAATTTTCCTAGAACCACAAAAGTCTCCTGATATGGGCAGCCTCTCCCTCCGGCCAGCTCCCATTCAGGCAATCCCTGCTGTCAAGCCCATCTCCCAGCCTCTATTTGGCCCTTTCTGTTCTTCACGTCTTTTCTTCTTGACCCCAGTCTCTCTCTTTTCTTGGCCTGGGGCAGGGCCGACGCTACCCCATTGGGAGCCCTACGCAGGAATATTCCCACCCCATGACACTGCACCCCATATTCTTCATAGTGATATTATTATATGCGATATGATTATGGCATAATTATGATGGATTTTATGCAAGATGGGTCATGTAAGATGTCATTGGAAAAGTTATGATTTGCTGAATACAGTTAGCCTGTTTATGTGCATGTATCATTTTTGAGTCTGAAGTTATGAATATTGACTATACATCTGTATTTCACATGTAGTTACACCTGGGTGATGCTCACTAGGCAAGATGCTTTCAGTCTAGGTTGTGGGTGCGGAAGGCAGGGCCAGCTCCAGGGTTTTGGCCGCCCCAAGCAGCCAAACAAAAACAAAACAAGAAAAGCTGCAATCGCGATCTGCGGCGGCAATTCAGCGGGAGGTCCTTCACTCCGAGCAGGAGTAAGGGACCCTCCGCCGAATTGCCGCCAAACAGCTGGACGTGCTGCCCCTCTCCGGAGTGGCCGCCCCCAGCACTTGCTTGGCAAGCTGGTGCCTGGAGCCGGCCCAGGGGGAAGGGCCTATTCGGGGTAATGGGCCATTAGGGGGAACAATAGGCCTTAGGAGAAGATTATCCTGCACCTGGTGAGCCTTCCTGAGAACACTCCACACTTGTAAGTAATGGCTGCTATGACTCAGCAAGGTATGCAAGGGCCTGTGACCAGACTAGCTGACTCTGAACTCCATCTTGGGAGGTCAGTGATTTGCCACAACTGAGGGTTTGGGACAAAGGGTCAGGATCACCTTAGCTGCCTGTAGGGCTTCGGGTATCGACGGCACCTGAAGCTGACAGAGGCCTGCACCGCTATCCGGAGTCACAGGCAAGGTATGGGATGGGCTGTACCGCACGACTCGACCGGAGCTGGGACCCGACTTCCCAAAGGGGGCGCTGAGCTGCCCGATACCGGTCTTGACTCGCCCTCTTCTTTCCCTTGAGGGAAGTAGGAGATCTTCCCCTCACTGTCTTCTTCGGCATCTTGGCTGGAGCCGTGGAGGGGGATCGGTACTGGCTCGTGGATGGCGCTGGTGGAGCACTGTGCACCGATGCCCTGGTGCTCAGTGCGGAGTCAGACCATTGCTCCAGTGCCGGAGTGAGCGCCGACTCCATCGGGGCACTTTCAGGCAGTTGTCACGCTCCTTTTTCAGCCTGGGTTTGAAGGACTTACAAATACGACACTTGTCGCTTATGTGCCCTTCGCCCAAGCACCTCAGGCAGCTACTATGTGGATTTCTGATGGGCACAGGCTGTTTGCAATGATCGCAAGGCTTAAATCCTGGGGACTGGGGCATGCCCCATCCCCCAGCTGAGTCCCGTTCAGGACGAATGAAGACTTTAAGAACTACTACTAAGGGTAACTAAGTCGACTACTAAATATATACAACTATATTACAGGTTTTATAATGTTCGCAAGAACGGAGAACAAAACCAACGCTAGCCAAAGCAGCAGATGTTCCAGCACCGTCACTGGTGGCAAGAAGGAACTGAGGGTGGGGAGAGCTGGCAGTGCCCCATATACTGCGGCACATGCACTCCACTCCAGAGGGCACCAGAGCCAGTCGCCTACAGATACTGCTGAGGGAAAAACTTCCAGCACCAGTGCATGTGGCGAGCACACACATCTAATATGGACTGGACATGAGCAAACACTCGAAGAACTGCTAATTCATAGGCAATCTAACTAGTGTCTTAAGCTTAGTTTGCATTTTTGTTTATTTGCTAGGCAATCTGCTTTGATCTGTTTGCTATCCCTTATAAGAACTTAAAAGGGATCTTTTGTAGTTAATAAACTTACTTTTGCTTGATCTAAACCAGTGACATGCATGGGAAATCGTAGCGGGGTAAACTATGAGCTAACACTGTACAAATCCCTGTGCAGTGCAAGACGGTATAATTTTGGGTTTATGATCCAGAGGGAATGCGTGCCTGGGGAGCTGAGAGTTACCTTGGCTGCAGCCTTTCTATGGTTGGTTCATGCAGTGGATGGTCAGAGAGCCTGCATGTAACTGCAGCTGGGTGTGCCCCTACCTGTGTGAATGCTGGGGGAAGTGTAGGACCAGGAGCGGAAATGCAGCTTGTGAGCAGCACAGTGTGAGAGGGAGCCTTGGCTGGTGGGTGAGAGGGCTCAATGGTACCCCAGTTCCAGGTGGCACCCTTTGGGGAATCAGTCACCCCCCCACACACACACACACAAATAATTAATAGGGGACCCCCTTGAGCTGCTTGGGGCCCTAAGCAATTGCTTAGGGCACATCTTCACTAGCAATGCTAAAGTGCTTTAACATGGCTTGTGTAGTCGCAGCACAGCGCTAGGAAACCCACCTCCATGAGGGCATAGCTCCCAACGCTGGTGCACTGTCTATACTGGTGCTTTACAGAGCTGAAACTTGCAGCACTCAGAGGGGTGTTTGTTCACACCCTTGAGTGAGAAAGTTGCAGCGCTATAAAGTGCCAGTGTAGACAAGCCCTAAGTACGCTTATGCCTAGCACCAGCTCTGCCTGGGGGAGAGGTAGAGGGACCCATGCCCAGCCCTCTATCCCCTGGGTTCCAGCCCAGGGACCCTGGTTAGGCAGCTAAGGACCATTCCTTCCATCCTTCCCCAATTTTCTCTGGGTTGCTCCTACCTGTACCTCAGTCATCAGCATCTTCACAAGACCTGCAGCTCCTGCCTTGAATTGGTGGTTCCTCAGCTTCTTCTGGGACCAGCTACAAAAGCATTTCCTAAAAGCCAGTCTCAGCTCTTCCCTGTAGCAGCTGGATTGTACTGCCAGCAGCTCTCTGCCCCTTGTACTGCAAGTCAGTATCTCTCTCCTTTAAACAGGTGCTCCCCCTCAGCCCTCTCTGTGGGACTGGGTTTGTATTCATTCCTTGCCACTTTGCCTTAGCTTAATCAGTTGCAAGGCTTTAGCCAGCTCTCTTCAGCTGAGCACCCTCCCCAATTAGCCTTCCAATCTGAAGGGGTCAGCAGCAGCAGCCCAGCCTTCTCCTGTCAGTATCTGTCTGCTGGGAGGGAGGAGGCAGCACCAGCTTTCATGCTGCTCCCCTTCTCCTAACATTTTCCCAATTGGTTGTGTGACAGAGAAGCCTTGCCTTGCCTTCTCTGCTTCCAGTCTCAGATTCCTTCCCCAATCATCATTCCTTCCCCAGACCCTTAGGTCTCCATATGTATTTATGGGACCTTCCAAACCCTTAAAAGTCTAAGCCAGGCACCGGGGCGGGTTGCCCATTAGGCACTACTGCCCTCAGTAGCAGACTACCTCCTCACAGCTGTTTTACTATTTTAAGTGTATGAATTAAGATTGCAAAACTGTTTTCCATCTTAATTATCCTCCAAATATATAAATACTGCTGTGCATAACCATTTATAATATGTATTACTCATACCTGAAACATGCTTATAACACCTGTTAGTTTATAAACAGTTAATGATTATCTAAACATGTAATTTTATTATCAAATGTGATGGACATGCAGTTTGACATGATAGTGTTTTGCAGCAGTATCCCAAGGGAAACAGCCCTGGTGATTTACTAGGTTTTGCTGTTCTCAGAGAGCTATTTAAATATTTTTGTATTCCCTGCAATTTACTATAAGGAAATTCACAAAAATAGATTAAATGAGTGACCTGGCTAACAGGAATCTCTAAATCCACTGCACACTCCTTCCTCATTATGCAAGTGACTGCAGAAATCAAACGTTATG